ATCAGGTTTCCCACCAGAGTGCTCTTCTCCCCTTAGCTGGCCCCGGGAGGTGTAGGAGTACTCACTCTCCTGTGTGCTTGTTGGGTTGGTGGCTGCCTTCTGTTGGGCTGGGTCCTTCCCTGCTGCAGCACAGGTGGTCGTCTCTCAGGGGACTCCCAAGGTTGAGTAATCCTCCTTTCTAGTACCTCTGCCTGGAGGTAGGCCTCTTCCCACTGAGCCTAGTCTCCTGCATCTCAGACTGCTTCACATCTTCCACCCAAAATCCCCCCTCTGATCAGGCTCAGTCACTCTTAAGGGCTGTCCTGACCCTATGCCAAGCCTCCTGCCCAGCGATTGGCCAGGATCCCTCAAGGGTGCAGGCCAGCTCCTCCTCACCCCTGCCCACTGAGTTCTAGAGACTTCTGTAAATCTTTAGATCAGGGGGAGGTATCAGTGGGCTGATCTGCAGAGCCTCCCAGCCCTAGCCTGAATTCGACCCTTCTATCACCCAGGCTGCCTTCTAACCCAAAAAAAAAAAATCTAGCTCCCCCTAGTGAACTAGGAGGGTGCTACAGTCACTTTTCTTTTTAACTTTGGTTAACTATTTTTCTACGGTATTTGAGAATGAAAACGTGAACCTCATTGTACATCGTTGCTAAGTGTGCCTTTTCAATGCTGTCTTTCAGAACATGCTTAAAGTACCAAGACACCTTTCACTTTTGCGACATAGGAGATCAATTGTGGCCCCTCCGATCTCAATTCCAGAGAACCAGAGAACGCCATTTCCAAAGATCGTGGGCAAGGTAAGACCTGACTATGCTGCATAGGTAGTGACTGCTGCTGTTTTTGGTATGCAAATGAGAAGCCAAAAATGACCAAATCTCCGGTGTGCTCTGCAGTCTATTTACTTGGATCAAGTGGTTTAATCTGGAGTTCCGTTCCATGGACAGCATGTCATCTGGTTGTCTCTTGAGGTTCTGCACAGGACGCCTAGAGGGGTGTCACCATCATTGATTCCTCTTGGAGAGTCCAGGGACAAGTGATTGATGGAAATAGCAACCCATTCTCCCTGGATCTTGTGCAGCTCCTGGTTCCTCCTCGGTGAAGCACCTCAACAGGGTGACATGAAAGCCAGTTGCTCTGGCTGTGAGATTCACAATTGATATTCAAGATTGAGTGCCTGCTTGGTGTGAGATCAATGAGTGTATGTTTGAGAATTATTTTCATTCTTTCGTTCTTCTAGAACAGAGGTCTCCAAATTGTGGCCCTTTGCTTGCATTTTTCTGGCCTTTGCAACACGGATACCAACAATGAAGCACTATTCCTCCCAGTGACACCAATGATAGAGCACTACTTTCTCCACTGACACCAGTGATGGGGCACTATTCCACAGAATGACAAAAACAATTAGGCATTATTCCCTCCATTGACACTAACAATGGGGCATGTCTCATCCAACTGATATAATGGTGGAACCCTATTCCTCCCACTTACACCAATAATGGGGCACTATTCCTCCCACTTACACCAATAATGGGGCACTATTCCTCCCACTTACACCAATAATGGGGCACTATTCCTCCCACTTACACCAATGATGGGGCACTATTCCTCCCACTTACACCAATAATGGGGCACTATTCCTCCCACTGAAACCAATGATGGGGCACTATTCCTCCCACTGACACCAATGATGGGGCACTATTCCTCCCACTTACACCAATAATGGGGCACTATTCCTCCCACTGAAACCAATGATGGGGCACTATTCCTCCCACTTACACCAATAATGGGGCACTATTCCTCCCACTGAAACCAATGATGGGGCACTATTCCTCCCACTGACACCAATAATGGGGCACTATTCCTCCCACTGACACCAATAATGGGGCACTATTCCTCCCACTGAAACCAATGATGGGGCACTATTCCTCCCACTGACACCAATAATGGGGCACTATTCCTCCCACTGATACCAATGATGGGGTACTATTCCTCTCACTGATACCAATGATGGGGCTCTACTCCTCCCACTGACACCAATGATGGGGCTCTATTCCTCCCACTGACACCAATGATGGGCACTATTCCTCCCACTGAAACCAATGATGGGGCACTATTCCTCCCACTGACACCAATAATGGGGCACTATTCCTCCCACTGATACCAATGATGGGGCACTATTCCTCCCACTGATACCAATGATGGGGTACTATTCCTCCCACTGATACCAATGATGGGGCACTATTCCTCCCACTGACACCAATGATGGGGCACTATTCCTCCCACTGACACCAATGATGGGGCACTATTCCTCCCACTGATACCAATGATGGGGCACTATTCCTCCCACTGACATCAATGATGGGGCACTATTCCTCTCACTGATACCAATGATAGGGTACTATTCCTCCCACTGATACCAATGATGGGGCACTATTCCTCCCACTGATACCACTGATGGGGCACTATTCCTCCCACTGATACCAATGATGGGGCACTATTCCTCCCACTGACACCAATGATGGGGCACTATTCCTCCCACTGATACCAATGATGGGGCACTATTCCTCCCACTGACACCAATGATGGGGCACTATTCCTCCCACTGACACCAATGACGGGACACTATTCCTCCCACTGATACCAATGATGGGGCACTATTACTCCCACTGACACCAACGATGGGGCACTATTCCTCCCACTGACACCAATGATGGGGCACTATTCCTCCCACTGACACCAATGATGGGGCACTATTCCTCCCACTGACACCAATGATGGGGCACTATTCCTCCCACTGATACCAATAATGGGGCACTATTCCTTTCACTGATACCAATGATGGAGCACTAGTTCTTCCTCTGACACTAACAATGGGGCACTATTCCTCTCACTGATACCAATGATGGGGCACTATTACTCCCACTGACACCAACGATGGGGCACTATTCCTCCCACTGACACCAATGATGGGGCACTATTCTTCCCACTGACACCAATGATGGGGCACTATTCCTCCCACTGACACCAATGATGGGGCACTATTCCTCCCACTGACACCTATGATGGCTCATTATTCCTCCCATTGACATCAACAATGGGGCACTATTCCTCCCACTGACACCAACGATGGGGCACTATTCCTCTCACTGATACCTATGATGGGGCACTAGTTCTTCCTCTGACACCAACAATGGGGCACTATTCCTCCCACTGACACCAATGATGGGGCACTATTCCTCCCACTGATACCAATGATGTGGCACTATTCCTCCCACTGACACCAACAATGGGGCACTATTCCTCCCACTGACACGTATGATGGCTCATTATTCCTCCCACTGACATCAACAATGGGGCACTATTCCTCCCACTGACACCAACGATGGGGCACTATTCCTTTCACTGATACCTATGATGGGGCACTAGTTGTTCCTCTGACACCAACAATGGGGCACTATTCCTCCCACTGACACCAATGATGGGGCACTATTCCTCTCACTGATACCAATGATGGGGCACTATTCCTCCCACTGACACCAATGATGGGGCACTATTCCTCCCACTGACACCAATGATGGGACACTATTGCTCCCACTGACACCAATGATGGGGCACTATTCCTCCCACTGACACCAATGATGGAGCACTATTCCTCCCACTGACACCAATGATGGGGCACTATTCCTCCCACTGATACCAATGATGGGACACTATTCCTCCCACTGACACCATTGATGGGGCACTATTTCTCCTCCTATTGACTGTAGGAGTAATATAATTTTTTTTCCTGCTGACCACAAACCCCGAGGCTTTGTTTACTCCCACTTAATGCAGGAGCATTTCTACACTAACCCTAAGGATAGTGTACTCGCCCTTTGTTTAAAAAGTTTGGAGCCCCCTGCTCTAGAATACATTTCCCCTCACTACAATACTCCACCTGCAGCATCACCTACTGGTGAAACGTGGAAGTGAGTTGTGACCATTTAAAGCACAAGTTATTTTTTTATAGCACCAGCAAAAAGAAGGCGCACTGGCCGTGTGCATCACCAGAAGAGTGTAGCTTATGCATTTCAAGGGCTGTGCCCACTTCATCATGAGCTCTGATGAGGAGGGTTCAGTCCTCAAAACACGCAAGCCATCTGCTGGATGGATGCACTACAGATGAGTGGGTTGAAATGGATTGTGGTCAGGGGCGGACTGACAACTCATGGTGCCCCCAGGCAATAGGGGATCATGGGGCCCCTGTGTCCTTGCCCAAACTCAAAAAAGCCTATGAAAAAGGTACCAGGGGCATCTCATGGGGCCCCCTACTGACCCTGGGCCCTCGGGCAGTGCCTGAGTTTCCAAATGGTCAGTCCGCCCCTGATTGTGGTACATGCACACTTTTGCTAAATGTACTTCTTCCACCCACACAGCCTACACTTAACAAAAGTATTAAAGCTGAAATCCAGGAAACGTAAAAAGATAGAAGAGGCTTGGAATGGGTTTGGGAGTAGATTTTAGCTTCGTTAGGTTTTGACTGGAATTTTAAGCCGTGTACTCTCACCCATCCAGGCTCCTTTAAGGGCCACACTGTACAGGCCACAGGGCTGTACCAACACAACTGCAATACTCTCCCTGGCAGTCATTCACTTCTTCTGTACATACGCGTGGAAAAAGTCTATTCACTTCCATTAAGATCCAAGGCTCCAAGATTGTCCTACTGGTCACTACCTGACCTGGAGCAAGTATGTTCTCAGTGAGATCGCAAAAGTTCCAGCCCCGTTCTGGCAAACATCTAACAAGTCAGGGACTCGCTAGACAGCCAGGTCAAGAACAGGATGAGAACAAGAGGAGAAGATCATGCTTGGTAGCCTTTGACTGGAGAAAGACTTTGAGAAAGATCTAGCCCAGCCTTTCTCAACCTTTTCAACACAGAGGAACCCTTGAAATAAATTTCCGGTATGAGGGAACCCCTGCTAAAAATTACTATATCTACAACTCATGTTAGATTAGTTGGATGGTTGGTAGGAAGAATGTCCCTTACATTGGTGGTCAGTGGGAAGAATGTCCCTTACATTGGGGGTCAGTGGGAAGAATGTCCCTTACATTGGGGGTCAGTGGGAAGAATGTCCCTTACATTGGGGTCAGTAGGAAGAATGTCCCTTATATTGATGGTCATTGGGAAGAATGTCCCTTACATTGGTGGTCAGTGGGAAAAAATGTCCCTTACATTGGTGGTCATTGGGAAGAATGTCCCTTACATTGGGGGTCAGTGGGAAAAATGTCCCTTACATTGGTGATCAGTGGGAAGAATGTCCCTTACATTGGGGGTCAGTGGGAAGAATGTCCCTTACATTGATGGTCATTGGGAAGAATGTCCCTTACATTGGGGGTCAGTGGGAAGAATGTCCCTTACATTGATGGTCATTGGGGAAGAATGTCCCTTACATTGATGGTCATTTTGAAGAATGTCCCTTACATTGATGGTCATTGGGAAGAATGTCCCTTACATTGATGGTCATTGGGAAGAATGTCCCTTACATTGGGGGTCAGTGGGAAAAATGTCCCCTACATTGGTGATCGGTGGGAAGAATGCTCCTTACATTGGTGGTCAGTGGGAAGAATGTCCCTTACATTGACGATCATTGGGAAGAATGTCCCTTACATTGGGGGTGAGTGGGAAGAATGTCCCTTACATTGGTGGTCAGTGGGAAGAATGTCCCTTACATTGGGGGTGAGTGGGAAGAATGTCCCTTACATTAGTGGTCATTGGGAAGAATGTCCCTTACATTGGGGGTCAGTGGGAAGAATGTCCCTTACATTGGTGGTCAGTGGGAAGAATGCTCCTTACATTGGTGGTCAGTGGGAAGAATGTCCCTTACATTGGTGGTCAATGGGAAGAGTGTCCCTTACATTTGTGATCAGTGGGAAGAATGTCCCTTACATTGGTGGTCAGTGGGAAGAATGTCCCTTACATTGGGGGTCCGTGGGAAGAATGTCCCTTACATTGGGGGTCAATGGGAAGAATGTCCCTTACATTGGGGGTCAGTGGGAAGAATGTCCTTTACATTGGTGGTCAGTGGGAAGAATGCTCCTTACATTTGTGGTCAGAGGGAAGAATGTTCCTTACATTGGTGGTCAGTGGGAACAATGCTCCTTACATTTGTGGTCAGAGGGAAGAATGTTCCTTACATTGGTGGTCAGTGGGAACAATGCTCCTTACACTTGTGGCCATTAGGAAGAATCACCCCCTTCAGAAATCTAAAAAGATCAGCAGTGTCAGTGGGAACTTATCTGAGAGACAGAAATTGCTCAAGAAACCCCTGACAACCTCGGGAGGAACCCTGGTTGAGAAATCCTGGTCTGAACGGAACTTTTCTCTTCTCATTTTACAGTGGACTTTCCTCTTCTTATCACTAACTCTCACGCTCATCATATTGTTATAAAATCCCCCAAAACAAGGTCTTGCGAAGTTTCAGAGTTTGGTGAGATGTTCCTTTAGCTTTCCCAGCATTCAGTTTGACAGTTTAATTGCTCTCCCGCTGTTGCTCTGAGCTGTCTTCTTCGTAATGTAATAATCTTCTGCTTTGGATTGTGGTCCGTATTTCATAAAGATTCTCCTCTTCATTTATTGTCTGTCCAATTCTCTCATTCCAACAAATCGTTCTATTCTTTTGCTTTGAACCACTTTGGTGTAAATTTCACTTCTTTCTAAGAATCCCAGTGGTAATGTTTGCTTTTTTGAACAGCTGCCAGTCATGTTCAGTAGTTTAATTTATTTTATTTTTTTTTGCAAGAGTATAAAAACAGAACAATTCCCTCCTTTTATCTCCAATCGGCGTTTCATTTTCCCGCTTTCGACACTTCTTACAGTTTGCTTCATCTGATTATGTTAAACTAGTGATATGAACTCTGGTGTCTTTTATAGCTGAACTCAAAGCAAACAAACTCAATACATGGATGATATACAATATATATATATGGGAGCTGTTTTATCTGCCAATGGATATGTATTTCTGTCCATCCGGTTCTGAGATTTACACAGCTCTGCCGCACAACACAGGCTGGGCAGGAGATCAGTTAAAGTAGATCTATAAAATGCAAGCTAACCGACAAACATAGTTTGGAGTGCTATATCTCTAGCCAATATGAAAAGCTGACTGTTTTCCTCAAAACCACACAGTAGATTGCATTTTTTATGGTGCAAACAGTTGGGGTCACATGACCTTATCCAGACCTGCTGTGCATAGACCTGGTCTGTAGATGGATCGATCCCATCCTACAAGTCTGTAAATGAATGACCCATTCTGCAGCGGACAGCTTGTAGTTCTTGTAGCACCCTCTTTGCACTTCAGTAACTGTCTTCATGGAAGGTATGGATTGACAGTCTGCAGAAGCCTGACATTGCACCCACAATCCACTGGTCACAGGTGCAATGCTTTGCAGGCTGCAATGCAAAAACATGATGCATGCACATTGTTTACCTGCAAAATCATGAGCATTTATTATTTTTTTTTTTTTAAAGGTGAAGTTATCCTTTAAAGCGGGGGTCTCCAAACAAAGGTCCAGAATGCTGTCCTACAGACTTTGGGGGGTGGACTGTGGCCAGTGGGAGCAGAAAATGTCCCTGTGTCAGTGGGAATAAACAATCTTGGGCTTGGCTGCCGGAGGGAGTAAGAAAACTTATACCACCTGCGGTCAGTAGGAGAGGAGTAGCAGCACCCCATGTTTGGTATTGGTGAGAGCAATAATGCTCCATCATTGGTGTCAGTGGGAGGATTAGTGCCCCAAGGGCCACGTACAGGCAAGCAAAGGGCAGTGGGAGGAACAGTGCCCCATTGTTGGTGTCAACCAACAATGTTGTTGTAGGAATAGTGCTCCAATGTTGGTGTCAGTGGAAGGATTAGTGTCCCAAGGGCCACATACAGGCAAGCAAAGGGCAGTGGGAGGAACAGTGCCCCATTGTTGGTGTCAACCAACAATGTTGTTGTAGGAATAGTGCTCCAATGTTGGTGTCAGTGGGAAGATTAGTGCCCCAAGGGCCACATACAGGCAAGCAAAGGGTAGTGGTAGGAACAGTGCCCCATTGTTGGTGTCAACGAACAATGTTGTTGTAGGAATAGTGCTCCAATGTTGGTGTCAGTGGGAGGATTAGTGCCCAAGGCCCACATACAGGCAAGCAAAGGGTAGTGGTAGGAACAGTGCCCCATTGTTGGTGTCAACCAACAATGTTGTTGTAGGAATAGTGCTCCGATGTTGGTGTCAGTGGGAGGATTAGTGCCCCAAGGGCCACATACAGGCAAGCAAAGGGCAGCATCTAGCCAGCGGGCCGCAGTTTGGAGACCACTGCTTTAAAGGATGGTCCCATTTGCTCTACTGGCGGAAAAAATTCCTTCCCGAGGCAGCCTTTCCCAACCTTTTCAACAACAATTACTCAATCTACAGCTGATGGCATGTTAGTGTGATGAGGTGGGAAGAATGCTCCTTACCTTTGTGGTCGTTGGGAAGAATCCCACCTTTACAGATAGTCAAAAAGATCAATGGTGCAACTGGTTACTCCTCTGAGAGGAAGAAGCTGCTCATTGCTCAACTAACCCCTAGCAACCTCTGTATGAGGGTCAGGGGTCAGGAGACCAGAAGCTGTAGCAGTAGAGAGGCTCCCACCGACCAGCAGGATAAGTATACAAACAGCTCACCCTGGTGTTCACTAGAGGTCCTGATGGTGAAGATGGGTTTTGCTGCATGTTAGCACCAAGTCACGATCCTCAGGATTGCCACACCAGGAGGTAAGTAAGCCGGGTCCAGTAGAAGATACAGAAGCTAAGCAGAAGCGTAGTCTGTAACAAGCCAAAGGTCGGTAACAATTGGTTGCAGTTTGGAATCAAGCAGAAGCATAGTTGCGGAACATATCAAAGGTCGGTAAAGGAGATACAAGCGGCAGCAGAAGTGATAAAAGTTGAGATTTTGGCTGGACGGAGCACAATGATCTGGCAAACAGTAAGTGCAGAGGTATGGCTAAAATAGGTAGTTCATGGGACGAGCAAAGGGTTCAAGGGAAACAAGATTCAAGGCAGGATCATTCCAGGAATCGTCCAGGGAGCTGTCCAGCATTCCTGGTGGCTCAGCAAAAAGAGTTACTGCTAGACCCAGCAGAAGTCGCAGGTGCAGATCCAGGTCCTGACATTCTGAAGGAACCCTAAGATTCTGTAGATCCCTGGTTGAGAAAGGTTGCCCAATGGCAATTGAATATTCCCTGAATCAACCTTCTCTGTTGTATTTCTCAGATGTTTAGCACATGCTTGCTGTTGAGTTACGTCTTTTGTTGTACTCCGGAACTGGGCGTCTTGTTCTTCTATTAAAGTCTCCCACGTTGAATAGATCACATATATCTTAGGTTTGTTGATTGCTGGTAAGTCCACAAAACTGACCTTTTTGTGTAAGACCGGGCAAAACATTTTTTGTTTTTTTGATAGACCTTGGAAGGATCGTGTTAGGTAGACTCTCCCACTCGGCAGTCGCTTTCTGCAAAGTGTGTCGGAATTACCTCAATATCTACAGAACCAGAACTAGTAAGAGTCGGCAAGGAGACTTTTTATAGTCTTTACAATGTAGAGAACTGACCTGTTTTTTTACATTTTCTTAGCAAAAGTTAACTTTAAGTAACTCCTGAAGCTCATGTATAATTCTGAAGCCATCTTCATTCTGTTCTTTTTTGTTTAATTGGTTCCTTGGTGGCCACATCTATGCTTCTCTGAGTCACCGTTCCCGAATGAAGTCAAAGGAAAACTTATCTGTGATTTTCATTCTCATTTTCAAGCCTAAATTTAGTCTAAATTGGTTGCGTTGGTTTTTTTTTTCAAGCCAAATTACATTTTCAGCAAGTACAGAAAATTTATAAAAACAAAGAAATTGCTTTCCTTCTCTACAATTAAAGTATAACTAAAGGCAAAACTTTTTTTAGTGCTGGATGGAGTGGAGAGGGATTACAACCCCCTTTCAGGTCTTTATTGGTGTCTCTGCCCCTGTTAGAGAGATTCACTCTATTTCTCCTCAGGGGCGTATTTGCCATGAGGACCGCCCAGCAACAATAGATCCCCCACAACAATAGATCCTCTCTGCATCAATAGATCCCGCCAGCAACAATGAACCCCCACATAAAATACCACCCCAACAGCAATAGATCCACCCCAGCAACAATAGACCCCCCAGCAGCAACAACAGATCTCCCAGCAGCCATCATCAATTGTCCTCTTCCTCAACAGTAGATCCCACCCAGCAACAACTGAACCCCTACAAAAAATACCACCCCAACAGCAATAGATCCACCCCAGCAGCAACAACAGATCTCCCAGCAGCCATCACCAATTGTCCTCTTCCTCAACAGTAGATCCCTCCCAGCAACAACTGAACCCCCAGCAACATAAGACCCCCCCAGCAACAATAAACTCCTCTCCAGCAACAACAGACCTCCCCAGCAACAATAGACCACACTCAAAAACAGATCCCCTCCAGTGACAATAGGTCCCTAGCCGCCAACATCAGGAGATCCTCCAGCACAACCCAGCACCCTTGCTGTTACATATATTCAGTGCTGGAGGTGCCAGCAGTGGTGTATTTAGGTTTTCTGCTGCCCTAGGCAACACAAAAATCGTCTGCCCCCATGGACACCAACCAACACCCCCCCCTTCCCCCCTCCCACAGACAGAGCCTGACATTGACCAACAACACCCCTGCACCCCCATATATTGAAAGAAAGACACTCATCTTCACAGCTCTGGGAACGAGAGTCAGGCTCTACATACACCCGCAGCCTCTCTCGGATCCCACCTGGTTCCCACATCACCTGTGTCCCTTCTTCCATCTCTTCTTCTTGAGGGAGGTGCTGCCCCCCTGAAAAATGCCGCCCTAGGCAAGTGCCTTGTTTGCCTTGTGGTAAATACACCCCTG